TTCTAAATTTATGAGTTGCTCCAACTACAAACTATAAGATATATTTTCTAGCTGGCCTTTTTTTTAAACTTTATATTGATATTTATTTTCCATCTCTACTTTATTTTCATCTCTAATTTATGAGTTGCATGTGATGTACCTAATATTTTCACATATGAGTTGCTCCAACTACAAAGTTAGTGTATTTTCATTTCTAAATTTATTGCTCTAACTGCAAACTATAAGATGCCAAACCTTGCTGACTTGTACATAAAACAATAAAGGCACTGATGGCAATTCACATACAAACCAATTCACATACAAATGTATGTTCTCAACCACGCATCCAGCCATGTACATAAATCAGTATAGGCGCTAATAGCCTCTTTACACAGTTTAAGGACTACTGGCTTATTTACAACCATGCATCCAGCCAAGTACACATCATGAATGCTTTCATCATACTGGCAGCTTCTCAGTCCACTGTGGTAGCTGCAACTCTGTATTAGAGCTGCTCTACTGTTGTGAGTTGTTCTCCTACTGTCTTGCAACATAAAGACGCAACTGCCATATCGGCTCCTTTGGTTGAATCGGTATGGGGATGGGTTGTGTATTACTTGGCCCCTCATCTGGTCGAGAAGAATGTCATACTGGCACGTTGTCATCTATCTCATCATCGAACTCCATTTCTTCAGATACTTCTTCCCTTGCAACTTCTGGGTCATATATTTTAAGCACTTCTAATGTGTCCCCAATTAGGTCCCAATTCCTTGAATTGTAACCTTCACGTACAAGTCCAGTTGTATGGCTGATGTCTCTAGGCTGCATCAAGTCATATAAAATATGAAAATAGATCGAAGAAGACTTCTAAATTGCACCAAGTCATATGAAAAATAAATTATTACCATTATATCTTCATCATCATATCCTCAAGGTGCGTATTTGGAGGGACGTTTTCTAAATGGATTATGGATCAGGGGCCTAGTCCTTAACTTTGTACCACTCAATGTATTCTCGTGTTGGCTTCCCATTGAATATATCTTCATCTACCTGATAAATATAGTTGATGTGGTTCGTCCACATGTCTATTTCATCTATAAGCTCGTCTATTTCATCTATAAGCTCATCTCCCCAGTTGTCAAACATCTTTCCCCTTCGCTCCCTCCTCTCCCACTGCAAGGGATCTGTCGGTATCCCTTGGTGAAGTCCAAATTACCGCAATACATGATCTGGTATATACCCCTTACATATGAGTCCACATATGAGGTATGTGTGACACAAAGCAGTCTGACGGACACGAATCTCATAATCTTTATCCTCTGCAGTTTCCTCTCCTATGTCAGGATAATCATCGTATGGGGTCCATGTGACCTATGAAAGAATTAGGACAAATTTTAATCTAAATAACCTGCACTTAAAATTAATTAAATTATAAATAAACAAAACAAAATATAACTATACTATATTATCATCATTTATGCGCACGTTATCAAGCTCCTGTCGCCTCACGAGACCAAAGAAGTATGTGTTATCCCATTCTCTAGGAGGGGCCCACCTGAGGGATCTAAGTTGCCCTGCCCTTATTTATTTTGGAATTGAGCGCGACAATTTGAAATGCTCGTACGCCCAACACTATATTACATGGATAAAAAAAAATAGAATCACAACAACAAATATCTATCGAACTTTATAAAAAGTATCAAAACACTAATATACTATTATTACCTGGAAAAGAGTGGTTGATCCACTTAAGAGTTGACGATTAGCATGAACAACCTTAGACAAGACTCGAAGCAAAAACGCTAACGCAGCTACTCCCCATGCATACTGACCAATTACGTCAATATCCTCAAAAAATTGTAAATAGATGGTAGGAACAGTACCATTTGTGGAATCTGCAAACATTGTGCACCTGACTAGATATAAGAGATAGGCACGGGTGTATCACAGAAGAATGGTGCGGTTATAATTATGTGGTTGCCGCTAAAATGTGTTTCTCAGCCATGTCAGTCGGATAATTGAATGGCTATGACCAGGTGGCAGCTGTCATATCATACGGACTATATGATCATCGTACTTCTCCACTCTCCTCACTGTTATAGCTACACCAGTCACCTTTAACCGAAAAATTTTCCATGTATCTTAAAGTGTAGGCATCATCTCTCCGATGTAGGCATCATCTCTCCGATATCTACATTGAAGTACCCCATATTCGTCTCTACGCACCACCTTTCAATAATTGTAGATAATGTGTCACGGTCATGCTGACCCATCGATACTATGGTCAGAGGATACAATCCTGATCTCCTGACCATATTAATTTGATCGTTGTTTATTAACAGCCATGAAGGAATTGCGTTGGGCTTCTCATCAGTCCTAATGGTATTTCCTCGATCCTGAAATAGAATTTTTCATTACATATACTAAAATAAATATATTGATTAACTAACATGATAGACAAAGAATATAATTTTAAATATTTGTACATACATCTCTTTCCCAGATCTTCTGTGATATATAATCTCTTTGATTAGTAAGCAATGTAGAAATCTCAGGACCTCCAAAGAAGGGTGCATCTTTTGCCATGATCACTGTTCAAAAAACTATCATACATAAAAAAGCTATCATAAATAAAAAAGCCATGAATTTGGTACCTATATTTAAAATCACAATATCTGCAACTTAGACTCTATTCCAAACAAGAACTCATACCATCAAAGAACTCATGCCATAAAAGTTGAATGCATGACATGTGATGCTAATTCTACTTAAAAAATGCCTAACTTAGTGTATATTTATACCAATTCTACTTAAAACATGCCAAACTTGGTATACATTTATCACATTTATAAGAAGAAGACACATCATTCTCATGATAACTTGATATAATTACTTATTCTTATGATAAACTTTGTATAATTACTCATTCCTATGATAAATTGATATCACAAGTAAAAGGAAACAAATCATTCAACGATCAAACAACAAGATGCATTAGTGGTTAATGTCTACAACTTACATATTTCATATCCTCAACAATATGGACGATGTTCATTGACAATATAATGGCATCTTCTAACATATGCTAGGTTGCACAAAATGTATGAAAGGATTACCAAATAAGATAATGAACTCATTTTCATCCAAAATACATCATACCTTCACACAAGCTTCAACAATATTTACTTTCAAATCAAATATCAGAAGATTCCATAACACAAGCTTGTGATTGACATATGCTAGTTTAGGTTGCGGAAAATGTAGGGAAGGATTACCAAATAAGATAATGAAGTCATTTTTCATCCAAAATATAGCATACCATCACACAAACTTGAACAATATTTAGTTTCAAATCAAATATCAGAAGATGTCAAAACACAAACTTATAATTGACATATGCTAGTTTAGGTTGTACAAAATGCAGGGAAGGATTACCAAATAAGATAATGAACTCATTTTTCATCCAAAATACATCATACCTTCACTCAAGCTTGAATAATATTTAATTTCAAATCAAATATCAGAAGATGCCATAACACAAGCTTGAACAAGCTTGTGATTGACATATGCTAGTTTAGGTTGCACGAAATGCAATGAAGGAAGGATTACCAAATAAGATAATGAAGTCATTTTTCACCAAAATATAGCATACCATCCCATAAGCTTGAACAATATTTAGTTTCAAATCAATATCAGAAGATGCCATAACATAAGCTTGAACAAGCTTGTGATTGACATATGCTAGTTTAGGTTGCACAAAATGTAGAGAAGGATTACCAAATAAGATAATGCACTCATTTGTCATCCAAAATATAGCATACCATCACACAAGCTTGAACAACATTTAGTTTCAAATCAAATATCAGAAGATGCATAACAGAACTTTTATTTTAGTTTCAAATCAAAGAAATAAACAACAATCTCAAAATAAGCCAAAAATAAAAAAGATGCATCATGCAACTTTTAGTTTCAACAACCTTAAAGATGCATCATGCAACTTTTAGTTTCAACAACCTTAAAGATGCATCATGCAACTTTTAGTTTCAACAACCTTAAAGATGCATCATACAACTTGAACAAGCTTTAACAATATTAAACTTTTAGTTTCAAATCAAATATCAGAAGATGCATCACACAAATTTTATTTGATTTTCAAATCAAATATTAAACTTTTCTTGATCATAAAGCCATAAAAAAAAAGCCAAATTTTTATCTCTAAAATAAATATATATCCTAATTTATAAATCCGACAACTATTTCTTATTTCAAATATGTGATGAGGGAGAGAGATACTGAGATCTAGAATGAAGACCATACAACCTTAACCACTATCCTTCTAACGACAGAATCAATCGTACTTCTTCAAACAAATACGACAGAGCAGCAGAATGGGGGTTTCTGTTAGGGTTTATACGCCTCAAAATTACGGCAATGCGATTGCCGTAATGAAAGTTTAAAATATTACGGTATTTTTCATACCGTAATTATTTGTTTTCTTATTACGGTAAGTATAGTACCGTAATCTTTTTTAAAACTATTACGGTATTAAAAATACCGAAATAATATATCAATTTGTTACGGTATTAACAATACCGTAATGATTATTGATTTACGGTACAAAGACTACCGTAAAAAGTAGTTTCGTCTAAAATTTTTTAAAAAATGAGAAAAAAGAGTGTGGGTGAGGTTTTGAAAATTTGAGGTTTTTTTTCTAATTTCCTCAAAATATAAGTATATTAGCAGCATTTTCCCTGTTTTTTTTTTAGTGCATAAAGCGCGGAGTTTCGAAATATTTCTCTGTTACATTTTCGAAAACTCGGATACTAAATTTGCCGTTAGGAAGTAAATAAAATGTAGTACCGCAGGAGCATGGAATTTTAGCTCTTTACAAATGCACCGTGTACTCCCGCGGGAACATCCTTACTTAAATTAATTAACTTCCGTGAATTCTATCCCGCCTTTTCAGGGACGAAAAGTATATAAAGTTCAAATGAGAGGGGAGAGTGGGCTAGAGAGTTTGGAGAGCGAGGTTATGCCATTACAGAGGGAGAGAACATATGTGCTGCTGCTTCTTCTTCTTTTGCTGCTCAGAAGAAAGAGAAGGAAACAGAAAAGGACTATATCCCTTCGAGTAAGCCTCATTCCTTTGTTCCTGATTTGGTTGTTTTTTATTTTTCTGGATTTCTCAAAGAAACCCTAATTCTAGGGCTTCAAAAATATCATTTGGATTCTAGGGTTTTATTTCATTTTCTTGAATTTTTCTCGCTTTCTCAAAGAAACCCTAATTCTAGGGTTTCAGAAATATGATTTGGATTCTAGGGTTTTATTTCATTTTCTTGAATTTGCTTTTTTTGTCTGATATATTTAGAGAATATCCCATTGCACAGTGATGCATATCTCTCTAATGCTTCTTGTATGGTTCCCTAGGTTATTTCGTTATTTCTCCAATTTTCTTTGACTCAAAACTATGATACCCATTTTCTGTTTTTTATGTGTTTAATTTTATGTAATATTCTTAAAGAATCCTCCACTGTAGGGTTACTTAAAGGCATGTACAGAGACGTCATTACATGGTTCCCTTGGTTATTTTCATCTTCATTTAAATATTTGCTTTACCTGGCATCTCTAAAGGGCCAGCCCCCCATTGTACCTTAAAGTATATTTCAAAACATTTATTTGATGGCTTCCTTGGGTCTTTTCATCTTTATTAATTTTTTCTCATCTGAGATTTTTGAGGTAGCCCTTGTTACAGGCCTATTTGATC